TTCATGATCAAAGTTGTGAATTTGGGATGTGAACCTAGGTTAAATCAAGTTTTTTTTTTTTCTTTTTATGAGACTATCTTAGTTTGATGACCCAGTTCATGGGTTTGACATATTGACTTGGTTTTTTTTAATGCTTTTTTATTGACTTTTTTTAATCAATTTGTTTTTTATGAGGTTATTTTGAAATTTTGTAACCCAAGTCTCGGATTTGACTGGTTAACTTGAATTATTTTTTAAATTTTTTTTTAATTTTACCCTTCAATATTGGTTTGATGGATAATTAGGTTACATGAATTATTTTAATTTATTTTTTATAAGGTTATCATAGTCTCATAACCCAAGTTATAAATTTGACATGTTAACCCGAGTGGACCCAAGTTAATCCAACATGTTATTATCTTAATATTAAAAAAATATGTCATCTTATATATATTTTAGTCAAATTATATTTTTACAAGTTGTATGGATTGCTTTTAGACTCATATATTCAATCGGGTTATATCAGATTAACCCTCACAAAATTAAAAAAAAAAATTATGTTAGAAAAAAACTATTAGCACTATTTGAATATTTTTTTTACATTCAAGAAAAATTTGACTCAATCTGCAGCGTAGCACGAGTCAATGATCTAGTGCATTATTAGAGCAAGAGGTAAGACTAGAGAAATTAGCTCCATACAAGTTACAATGTTTGAGGTGCCCCAGACATGCTATTTTCACCTTGTTGTAACTAGAGTGCTAATTGGACATGATATATTTTTTCTTCTTTTTTAGCATTGATAATTCCATTAAAAAAACAAACAACACTATCCGATTATAATTATTGTTTAATCAAGATTTGGATTGTACATAAGTTATCCGATTAGATTTAGTAAGCCTCAATCCAAAAGATAGACTGAACACTAAATTATCCATTTAGGTTTGGCGAGCCTAAGATCAAAAACCAAAATGGGTTGCAAAGTTATCTGGTTAGGTGTAGTGGGCCTCGACCCAATACAACCATTGCACATATATGCTCATATGCCACTCAAAGTTTCTAATTTTTGTCACACACATGCTCATATGCTCACACTTAATTCTTTAAGTACATATACCTTATTAGTATGGCTTCATGCAAGACACCTAATTCTCCACATAAAAAAGTTATGGACATATCTTGTCAGTACAATACTGTATAACCATCCAATGATGTTATGCAATGCACACCTGATTCTTTATTATAGAGCTACTAATGCAGGCTCACAAATGAATTGTCAATACGATGCCTACCATGATACCCAATAACTATTGCAAATGGTCAATATATCTTCCACCTTATCCAGTGCAATACCTATATTTGATAACTCATTTTACAAGTTATTCACGCGATAAAGGTAATTATTCTCCGTTATTAATCTTGTATAGTATTGTTGCAAATCCATTATTCATGAAGCAATTTCATGTGACTGAGGTGTATAAATATCTTATATCACCAAGTAGTAACACATAACCATACACAATTATCACAATGTATATTCTTTTACTCTCTTTGTTAGGATTCTTTTTGTTATAAATTATTTTCATTTTATAATTTACTAACTTAAATATTAGAGGATCCCCTATTTTGATGTAGGACTTGTTTTATAGAAGTTTAGGAATCAACCCAACCTAATTTAAAGAATTTTCCACTAAAACTTGTTTCACAGTTGTAGAGAGGTTTAGATCCATTTTGAGGTTTTTCCAACTTTATTAGTGGCACCATCTATAGGAATTGAAAAAATCTAGTTCATTCTCATTTTACATGTTATTAAAAGTTTTTTATATGACCGAAAACTTAGAAATACTAGGATATGAAAGAGTAACCAATACATGACCAAAAACTTAGAAACACTAGGATATGAAAGAGTAACCGATCTCTTTATTGCAATTACATCAGCTCCTTTAAATCACCTATAAAATGAAAATGCTCCCTAAAGTTATTCTAACAACATAACATTAACTTCAAATTTTATCACTCTTTTAATGAGTAATACAATAACTAACTCTACTACATAAATCATCAATTATATATGGATAACTCTAGTTTCATAAAAGATAAGACAAAATGATTTATAAAAAAATAGGCATGAAAATATTCATACTCCAACCCTCTATAAAAGTCACTCTAGCTATAAAGAATACTTTTAAATTAAAGCTCCAGACATTAACCCTAAATATAAAAAATGGAGCCTTTATAAGTTCTAGCAGTAAAAGTGTCTACCAACATCAATCTCTCTTTAAATTTCACTACAATACTCATCATGAAAAAAAAACCTCGACATAAAATAAAATTAATGATACAAGCTGTTGAAATTAAATATCTCCCTCACTAAGTGAGAGAGTCTACACTTTATCATCAGGTATTGCACACTTCTCTTTCCAAATATTATGTGTTCAAAAAAGATAAATTTAGAAAACTATGATGAACTTATAAGCCTAAGAAAATACATACAGAATATACAAAGCAACTTAAAGCTTATAAAAATGTTATATATAAAGTACTTTTGATAATATTATATTGATATGCTTTGGTGTTGTACCATACCCTAAAGTTTGGTTTGTTTCACTTCAAAATAAGCATACCATCCATAAAAAGCATAATTAATATTTTTATCATCATATAATAAGAAGGTAAGAGCATGAAAGTATATCTACAAAGGTTTAATGAAAAAATACTAAAAAAATCTATAGTAATACATTACCACTAAAGCCCTTATTAATAAGGTTTAATACTATTCTATATGAGAAGACTATACACTTTTTTTTATCAAACTCTTTTTAAAAGGATATAAATTGTAAAAAATCATATTTGAGTAGAAAAAATAATTAAATATAATCAGGCAAGAAAACTCTTGATTCAAAGAGCGATTCAAATACACAAAACCCAAATAAATTTTCACTTTAATAGTTTGTAATAAAGGAAATGCAACCTAAATATAAAGGGAAATAGGTCGACTTATCTCACAATATGTTGCATGAGATTAGATAATTTTTAGAAATTATACCTTTATTTGTATTAAAAAAATTCTTTTAAACTTTCTAGTAAAAGCAATATCATCTCTCAAATTAGTCTTTGTATATTTTTCTCCATGGTATTGTTTATTTTTATATCTCTAAATGAAATCTTCATGTTTCTAACAAAATCTCCATATGTTTATATATTGATCTCCTTAAGTATTCATTATGATAAAAAAAATTTTATTGATTCTCCATAATTATTATCTGCACAATCCTTACTATGACATAACTTTCATAGCTATAAGAAATATGTTAAAATAACCCTGAGAGGTGTAGCTTAACCTGTTATGCCCTGAGTTTGCTTTCAAGAGATCACTAGTTCGAGTGCCACAAATCTCAAGGCCATTAGAGGTTTATCTGATCGTTACCTTCAGGGCCTTAAAGAATTAGTTAAGGTGCGCGTAAGCTAACCCAGATACTCATGGTTACAAAAACAAATGCCAAACAAAATCAAGTCTCGAATGAAATTACAAAAAAAGAACTCTAAAGTTGTTGTGAGAGAAAACTATACAAGTGGAAAGAGACTATAAATCAAGATTATGAGGTATGGTAACACAATAAGTGTTTTCTTTTTTTTACCATTCAAGTCTTTCAAACATAAAATGACTAGATTTAAAATTAGTATGAAGGAAGTTACATCAATAAAAAAAATTTATTTGATGGTTTATTTTGGCAAATATTAACTAAAACTTAATAAAGAGGTCACCAATTATAAGTCATGTATTAAAAAAAAAAAAGGTTGATGATCCAAATAGAATTATCATTTAGCATAATAAAATAAAATGAGTCTCCATCTAAAAATCAAGAATAAAAGGTATTCGCACAAATGATTATAGAGTATTTATATGAATTCAATGAATTTAAACATGACTAAATAATAATAAATAATGTCTTTTCTTTGTGATTAGATTTTTAGGTATTTTATCATACATAATTATTGAAGAATTTTAGCATTCGATTTTAACTATCATTATAATGATATTAGATACCATATTTTATAAAAACACCTTTAAAGACATTTAAGGCAAGAGAATCTCCTAATAACGAATAAACGATACATCATATATATTGATATATAACACATTTATCTTAGTAGGTGAAGAAGGATCCATTTATTTGTTCTCTTAAAAGTGAACTTGTTTATTAGTTTAATGATCTCATTTCTTAGTTTAGAAGAACAAATAAATATCATTGTTAAATGATATTTTTTTTTATCATTTATATGATTCAATTTACTTGATGAATTCAAAAACAATTTGAATGATGGATTAAAATATTATTTAACAAAACAATTTAATAAAACATTTTAAAAAAATATTAAAATGATAATATATTGGATCGACTTAGATCAACCTGATTTAATCTTTTAAATTTGTAATTTAGATTAAAAAATTATAATAACATGTATTATTTTGAATAAAAATTAATTATAAAAATTAATTATTAATAAAATTATTATTGAATGATAAAATTAAAATATTTCAATTTAAAAGAAAAATAATCAAATGATCTTTCTAAACAAAATTATAAAAATAGAATCATTAATGTCGCAAGGTTTTTCTAAATTTCGTTTGCTTTAAAATTTTAACGTGAAATATAAAAATATATAAAAATAACCTCCTAATTAGGTTAAGAAATATAATTAATATCGTAAAATTAAATTATATATATATATATATATATATATATATATTATTCGACCAAACAGAACAGCTAGAATCGAATTGCAATGTGCCGGTCAGAATTTAAATGAAACTTCCAGAATGGGTCAAAATTTGAAGCAATTTGAATTATGAAATCTGTTTCTATTAATTCTATTTTTTAAAGATATACTGGCTATTTAAAAAACCCAAGACTATTGTAGTAATTCAACCTTCTCAAGTTGTTACATGGAATTCCATTTAACTGCCACCTGTCCAAGTGTTAGATTACCAAACCCTCCCCGTTAAGGGAAACAACTGCTAATCCTCCATCCTCTGTCACCTAATTATGTTTCCCTTGTAATAAAATTGATAAAGACCAAAGGGTTTTATTTTACCAGAGGACACAGATTATAGAGAGACAGAAAAACATAATTCCTTGCTTTGGAGGAGAGAAAGGTATGCATATAGAGGTTTTTTAAAAGAAAGAGAGAGGCTTGTTGAAGAAAATGGAGAATAGTAGTGGTGGCAGCAGCGATTACAGTAACAGTAGGATTGTAGTGACAAATGAGAAAAAGCCTATGCAAGGAATCAAAATAGAGAATCCCTTTACTTTCAAAGTACTTCAAGTATTTACTGGCTTTGGTTTTGGCTGTGGTATTGGTATTGGTCAAGGCATGCCTATAAATATGGGTACACTACCTGTCGCTCTTTTTTCATCTCTCAAAGTTCCATTCTTTATACTTGCCTATTGCATGATGGCTTTTTTTGGTGGGTTGTTTAAACCCAAGAATGTTGAAGAAACCCATGAGAAATCTACTCTTAAAACTCCATGTAAATTATCGTTTTATGTTTCTTTCTTTCTTTTCTTTTCTTTTTTGTTCAAAATGTGTGATTTTTGTTTGGTTGATTGGAAAATGTGGGAACGAGGAGAAGTTTTGTGTTTGACTTTTTTGATTGAGTGGGAAGAATTATTTGTATTGAGTATTATTATCAATTAATGTGACTGCGTTTTGCTTACAGTATTTATATCAGTGGTCTGTGTTTGTTGCTTGGTGTTCTATGTTCCAATTAAGATAAGAATTTGAAAGCTTTGGTTTTTTGAAGAGTCAGGTTAATCTTTTGTGCACGCTTCATTTTGTTGAGTTGCAATTGGATGTTTCGATGATAGTCCTTTTCTTCTGGTTGCATTTTTCACTGCCTTTTATTGCCTGCAATAAAAGATGTTACTACAGCGAAGGTAGAGAAAGAAAAATATAGGAAAGAAAAGAGTTTAATCACCACAGATAACCGTTTGGAATTTTGAACTGATCCAAAACAATTCCTTTTGGAATTGTCAAGTCCCAGGACATGTTCTTGTTGACCATAGTCCTTGAATTCAAAGTGTTGTTTTCTTTAATCACCCTGTAAATGTCAATTAATGAAGTCAGCCACTACCTGCACATGATTTGTGATCGTAATCTTAAGTACTTCCACATGGATAATTGTTAGACTTTGGGGTCAAAGTTGATTCCAATAGGCACAAATGTTGTTTTTACCTTCTTTTATAGGTTATACCATTTCTAAGGACATCTCTGAATCTTTTCAACATGTTATGTGTTTGTTAAGTTGCAAATTGTGATTTGAATTATATCCTAGGTGCATTGCCAATGGTGGGCCAAGTAATGAGTGCAACTAGAGGCGCAACTGATGCCTTTTCTGGAATTACCAGTCATGTAAATACTGCAGTAAGTCAAATGTTCATTCCTATCAATGCATATTATTAATGTTTCTTCATATGGTTTGGCAAGTTAAATTGATCTGATCCCCCAATTCTCATGTCTCATTCTTCAGCTTTGGAAGCTGGGAGCTAAGAACATTCAAGCAGGCATTGGATGTGGAGTTGGGTTCGGCCATGGCTTTGGAATTGGTATGCCATGTGTTATGTCTTCTGAAGAAGCAGTCAGTGCTTAATATTACTGCATTATTTTTTGCTTTGACAATGTGGACTCTTACCAGACACTTATTCTGGCTTGCCATTGTATTAGAATGCGTGACATTTGTCTAGCTGGCTGATACAGGAAATGATGATGGATTTCACCTAATTGTTTTGCTTGTCTCTGCTTTTGGACTGCTTGGACATTAATTTATTGTGATCTAGAAAGATTTACTAGAATACACTCACACACACACACACACACACACACACAACTTTTTGAGGATTATTTTGCTCTACCTAGGTCGTTATCCAAAGCTTTGAGCATTTTCATGTTTTTATTGGAATTTCAGTATAATGCTTTGTCCTGGAAGCACAACTTAGTTCCCTTTGATATTTTTGGGCTTATTATCCAAAATATCAAGACTTCTGTTGGAATATCTTACATTTCCAGAATTTTGAAATGAATCATATCGGATATATTTAAAAATTGGCCTTGTGATAGGATTGCTAGCCTGTTTAAATATGTTGTTCTCACCAAGCCCCTTTCACCTTATCATTATCCACACATTTGATAGCTGAAAACAAAAATTTTATATGTCAGGTCTTGCAGTGAAACCTGGGGCAGTGCAGAAGATGCAAGCTTGTTTTCTAGTATGTAATTATAATTTCTTACAGCATAAATACATCATACATTCAAATATACATGCACAAACTTTATTTCAAGTTCACAACTTGTTTATCTGAAATTTGGATGCCAAATTTCTCAGCAAGTATTGATGAAGATGATGACAAAACTTGGAATAGCACCCAATTTATCAATTGGTCTAGGTGCCCTTCCAATGTCTTTGCAAAGTGGCGGGAGCATGTTGACTGAATCTTCAATCCAAAACCCATTGGGAAATATTACACAGTTAGCAAGAAAACTCCCAGATCAAACATCTCAAAGTTTGTATGGATATGGAAATGTTAGTTCACATTCAACTTCTGAAAGTGCCACTTCAAAAGGCAGTGATACTTCCTTTGGTAGCCGAACAGAGAAGGTGATTAGCAGTTTTCTCCAAAATCCTATTCTGGAAGAAGATGGCACTGACTTAAATGAATTGGTAAGTATGATAAATATATTTTTCTCTCTTGCTTGATTAATAGATGAGTGATGCAATTTTTCCCTCGGGTGTTTCAATTGGCTGGTCCTTGGACATCAACTTGGGGCCATAGGTTTCCTTTTCTGTCAAGGAAAAGGGTATTAGGAAGTGTGATGTTAGAAAGCCAGTAGTTCTATTTGTTTCAATTTTGGAGGTTATCGTATCATTAGTGATATTTTATTGCTATATTTAGAATATGATTCAGTTGCTTAGGTCAAACCTCTATGGCCAAAACCATTTCCATTTTGATAGTGGAGAATAAAATTCGCTTTAGAGGATAAAAACACCAATTGAACTATGAAGTAGACAGGTTCATTTTTTCAGTTCAAAACAAGAATATGAGTGGCTTTTGTCAGAATCTGTCTTTATATAGAATTGAAGGAAAAAATTTAAAGCTAAGAGTTAGTGTTATGTGCTTCTATCGTGTCCAATGATTTGACCTAGTTCGAATCTGAAAACTGTTGGAGCTTATCTATGGAATCTGTATGTATGGTGCATAATATTTGCTTTTAAGCTGTTGGTGTAAGTTGTGAGTGCACAAATACAAGTAATTACACAGTCCTTTGGGGGGGACAATTGAAGGAAGCACTGTTTTGAAATCCTCAAAATTTGGCACTTCAGTTTTACACATTTTCAACTGAAAGTTCCCTGTCATAAACATAACAAAACCTTTTAACAAACCTAATTTCACTTAACTTAAGATGATAATATCATGGCCTGAAGTATTACGATTTTCTATCTGATTCATGGATTGGATGTCTACAGGCTGGACGTTTGCGGTCAGAAAACAACATGCTTCAAATGGTAATCTTTCATGCTGATCAGTATTTCCCTATGCATCATGAAGCTATTCTAACTTGATGCTGTTTCTGTGAACATTTGCATCAGTGATTTGGAATTCTGGTAGAATGCAATGGCATTTAATATGAAGTTTCTTTTCCCCCTTTGAAGGATAGTTTTTAATGAATCATCCAATGTAGTAACAAATCATAACTGGAGTTCCTAAATTTTGCTTGAATTGGTTCACTCTTTACATACATCACATATGACTATTATAGGATGCAAACTCTTCCACTAGTTAACAACTCTTTAGTTCAATATATTTACGTAAATTTGTTAAATGTTCTAGCAAGTTAAATCTATCCTGTTCAGGTGTTGAGACACCAGCAAATCATTGAAGAGTTAATGGAGGAGAATCAAAAGCTTCGCCAGATACTTGTGGAAGACCTAAAAATACCACCCAACAAGCTCCAGGCCAGTCACTCAACTATAAATAAATCTCCATGCACTGATTGTTTTGAGTGCCGAAGAAGACAGAGGAAAAAGTAGATAAAGATGACTAAATTTCTCATATTCTTGATCGTTAAGATCTCGAAGAATGCCCCTTTTGAGCTATTTGGATGTTTTGCCCCAGATTCAAATGCAATTTTGAAGGACCATTCTCAGGAGGCATCAATTCTATACAAAGATGGGATATGAGATTATATAGGTAGATGCAGGTATTGTTGCAAATAATTGATTAAAGTTCATCTATCCAAAGGCTTGAAGAGTTTCTGAGCCAGAAGGTAATCTAACCATTCATTGACCTACATTTACTTTTTCAACTCTCTACATATATTCGTTAAGCTTCAACCTTTTTAAAAACGATTCGTTTTTGGTCAAGGGACCGAAATTTTCATTTTTAATAATGCGTGTCTTTGCTGTTAAATCTAACTTGTATGACTTTTGGTTTTGGTCTATATCTGCACCTAGAGACCTTGTTGTTTTGATTACTGCAAGTGGTAGGGCACGTTTTGCATCTTTTTCCCTGAACAAATGAATGCTATGAATATACCAAAAAACTAGAAAAAGGGAAAAAGCAAGAAGAATAAATATCTCTAAGCTTTTGGCTGCGAAACAGTTTTACAGGCTGTAATTGGGAGTCAGTAACTATAGGACAGCAAAAGCAGGTGCAGCTGCCAAACCGGATTGAAAATATCTAACCCAACTCATTTTAAGAAACATGCCAAGACCAAGAAAGAGTTAATTGAGGTTAAAAAAAAATTCTAACCAGGTTATTTTGCAATTGGAAATGCTCTGTATAGTTGGTGGCGTGCTGATTAATGACAGAAAAAGATGGTGATGAGGTATATTCAGGTCATTATACTAAAATGGATTCTGTGACCTGGACATGCCATGTTAGCACGAGTTGCGACATGTTTCGGTGTTTGTATTTCTACAAACTAGCCCGGGAACATCTTCATTCACCACGTCTAAATGTAGGGTTAAGTTGTGCAGGACAAAAATGATAGCTGCAATAGAGAACTTTTCTTTTTCTAGTGTTTGCAGTAAAAAGATTTAGTGTTCATTTACTAGTCTCAAGAAAATGACATGAAAATGGCGTTGTTTTGTGTGGTGAAGTAAGATGAAGTATCATAGGCCTCAGTGTGTGGACTCAGAACTTAACTGTCAATAGTTACTAGCCAGTTGACCTGAATCAGTTAAGTTTGTGGGTTTTGACTTTTAGGTAGAGTTTTCTCAAAGAATGCATGCTTTGGCATCATACCTTTGGTGGATAAAAAGGTGAAGAAAGGCCTTTATGACGCTTACATAAGTAGTCCTTTGAAGTGGAATCCAAGGCTTTTTTTGTGATTTTTTTATGTGAAACAGTGCCTTCTGAGTATGTGGCATGAGATTCCAGTTTCTCCTTACAAACTGAATTTGTTCTCTGTTCCCTACATATATATATAGTGGAACGAATAATAATAGCATCAGAGGTCACTATGTAGAAGTGGTAATGAAGTTCTGAATCGTGACTAATTACTCCATTTGTTTGTCAAATTTATCAAACAACGTGATTAGTTAGTGTTGTATCTACTTTCATTAAGTGAGAGGAAGGATCGTGGGTGTCTTTGAGATGGGAACAGCATGATACAAAAGGAATATTGAAACACAGGGAGTGAAGTGAATGGTGGTGCCTTGATCTAGTAATATGCCCTGCTGTGTTCTGGGACGGTTTTGATTGGTGCCGCAGTTTAATGACATAGTTTGGTGTTATTCGATTTCAGTGTGTGTATAATAATCTCGCAAGCATTCTGATTTGTATCAAGACTAGTTTTTGAGGTTCAGAATGTTCAAGCACTGAAAAATGTCCCCTCCCCCCCCCTCTCCACACATCTTTATCTTTGTGGAAGCGGTGGCTAACACAACATGTGAAGGTCACTTTCTTACACGTTCATTTGTTTCACAGCCCCACCACGCCAGCCATCCTCGTCTAATGCTTCCATCACTATTCCAATAGCCCATACTTGAAAGAAAAGTCTGTAGGATATCTCCCCATTTCCAAAAGCTCTTCACGTCCACATAAATTCTACCTCAACAGCTAGCACCTTAACCTTTTCCTCTCCACTCCTTCCCCACCACCTCCAGCCACACTTGTTCTTCGCTAGCATCCATCCACTCGCATCAAGCACCCACCTAACTTTTTCTACTTTACCGTCAGTTGTAAAGCAAGTTTAGTGTCATAATCAGGCTCGGTTGACAAGTAAAATAGGATTAAAATTTATGCTATAAATGATCACTTAACAATGGCTCTCCACTGCTTTACATTGATCAGAAGAGTATCTTTTCTTGCTTGCTAGAGTAACTACACATGAATTCTGGCTTTCAGAATCAAACCAATCTCCTTTATAGTTCAGATATCAAGAAGTTTGAAGTCTTGCAAGTAAAATATCAATGCCAAGCATGAGAGGAAACGGGCAAGCATAATACGAAGACGATCAAGAATAAGATCTTTATTCAGCTGAAGCCAAAATGCTTCTACACAAGAGCTGCAGCACAATTAATTAAATATCTAAAACATTCAAAAACAAATGCAGCTCATCGAAGAATCATCCAGAAGAAACAAGAAAAGCAAAGTTAAAAGACAAAAAGAATACACAGATAACATCATGATCACATAATCTACATCAAGCTAAGCTCTTACATGAAATGTTGTAACTAAACAAACAGAAATGCTACTCCTCCAAGCAATGCCGACAAGGCCATTCTATTTCCATGAACATAAGCTCCATTTCCTGGTGGCGACCCGCCTGGAGCTGGTGCTGGTGCTGGTGGTCCGGGAGCCACTGGTGAAGGTGCTGGTGGTCCTGGTGAAGGTGCTGATGGTCCAGGAGCCATTGATGGAGGTGCTGGTGGTCCAAGTGAAGGTGCTGGTCCCGGAGCCATTGGTGAAGGCGGTGGGCTTGAACTTGGGCCAGGGCTCATTGATGGGGTTCCTGAAGAAGGTGGGGACATCATTGGTGGAGGTGACGAGACTGGGGGGGAAACTGGGGAGGGTGTCATGGCAGTTGGCGGAGTGGATGTAATTGGGGGGGGTGCAGCACTGCTAGATGGTGGTGGCATTGTTGGTGGTGATGACATTGGGCCTTGAGCAATGGAGGTGGCTATGAGAGCTAGCATTAGGGTTAGCATGAGCATGGCACGTGAGAAAGCCATGACTCTTATGAGTATAGGGTGTGAAATGAATTGGGGTTCGAGAGAGCTAAAGAGTAGAGAGACGTTTTCTGTGCAGATGCATAAGAGGAGGTGTGCCGAGGTTGATATATAGATTGCAAGGACAGAAAGTTTGGAGATTACGTTGATTAGTATGCGGTCCTATAACCTATGAGTGCATGGATGTTTCATGCAACAGGACACGGTGGCTAACACGTGACTTGTGCAGTAAAAGCCTGTCTTTATCCCAAAAAAGAAGAAGAAGAAGAAGAAGCTGCAGCCCTTCCAATTTCAATGACTCATATTTTTTATATTTTTTTTTTCTCATATTAATCCGGTTACTGGATGACTCACAGTTAGTTTTCTTATATCACTAGTTCCGGTGCACGTGATTCGTTGAGAGCAAGATTAAAAGCCAATTTTGTATAAAACTTGTGCGACCGCGGTTATTTTTCGGTACATGTAATTATAAAATATTTGAAATGATGATAAACAAGTGTGAATATTGTTAATTTTTTTTAATACATGGGATAAAATATATATTTGAAATGATAATAAATAACCTAATAAGTATATTAGATTAAATTAATCAATTACCATATATATTAATAAATATAAAAAAAATTAGTGTGATTTGTTTGACTTGGCGGGTCAAGAACGAGTTGGTCATTTTATTTAAAGGTAATCCAGCTAAAAAAATATCAATTTACCTTCATTTTAATATCTACCTAACCTAAGCTTAAATATGAAACAATGGGATGTCAAATAATTAAAAAATGAAAAATAAATATAGGAAGTGAAATGAAAAAATAGTGACACATTATACTGACTCGATTAACACGTGAAATTTACAATTCAAATAATGGACACTACTATAATGAGTTAAACTGGTTGGATAATTCTTGTCTTTCCTTTTTTTTCCCTCATTCTCTTCTTCATTGGGTCTTGATTATGTCTTGATTAACCCCGACCTGAAATTTACACTTAAGTAATGAAAATGACTATAATGAATGAAATAAATACTAAAAAATGAAACTGAAAAAACATGAATATAAATAAAGGGGGAGGGAAGCAAACCTGGACGAATCTCCTAAACTTGGGTTAGTTTTTCAAACTCATAACTTATATAATCATAGACTCTAGTTCAACCAAAAAGTTCAATTACGAATCAATTTGATATTAAAGGGTGAAATTGAAAAAATATTTCAATCTAAAAGATTTGTTAAAGTAAAACAAATAGCAATTTAAAAAAAATCAAATTTAACATGAAAATAAAATGAAACCAAATATTAAGGGATAAAATTGAAAAATAAATTCAATTAAGAAAAGGATTCAAAACAAAACAAATAGTAAAAAGAATGAGAATCAAATCTAGCAAATAAAAAAAATTAAAGGATGATAAAATTGAAAATAAATTTTAATTTTATAAATCATTTTAAATAAGACAAACAGTAATTAAAAAAACAGTTACCAAGTCTAAATACAAAATAAATTGAAGAGTTGATTTGAAAACTTCAATGAGGTTTAGAAATAGAAATTAAAAGAAAAAAAAAATAAAGAGAAAAATAGTTGTCGATGTCAAATCTAGAGATCCTTACACCACACACATTGTCCATAAATAAAAAGGTCATCAAGATAATTCTAATATTGTTTTATAAATCATTGTTTAGGCATCAAATACCTTCCTTCTTATACATGGAATCACTCAAATAATGTTAAGGAGATACACAAGTTAAATTATTTTAAATAATATTTTGTATTTATTAAAAAAATCAAGTTGTCCTTGTTAACTACATTATAAAAAAAAAATGATGATGAAAATAAATAAATAAAAACTTGGTTTAAATATAATATTTAAACGACAGGAAAAGCTCGGTATGGGCTGCTGGCCCAAAGGGGCTGCTTAATAATATTTAAACGACAGGAAAAGCTCGGTCTGGGCTGCTTGATTATAATTATTTTAACAAATTTACTGTATAACCCTCCGATTCAATATCTTGAATTCAAAAAAAAAAACCAATACGATACATCGGATGAGAGGTAAGCAAGTATGGGTATTTTATGATTCCAAGAGTCGTAATCCAGGCTGATGGATATGTCTCATTTGTGCTTCCAGAAAAGCCATGTTCGCAAATTCTATGATTCCAAGAGTCGTAATCCAGGCTGATGGATATTTCATTGTCAATGGGAAATAGCTAGCTGGCTGGTTCCAGGTTGTCTGAAAACACCATCTCGACGGGATACAACAACGAAGTATCGCTGGAAATTTATATTAGATACACTTAAATCAAACATATTAAAATACGATTACTTCTTCGCCTATACTGCCTCCATGGAAAGGAATCTGGCAACTTTCTTTAAGGGTTTCTTCAAGCAAGTATCACTCGGAAATTTCTTATCAGATGATTTCCAGGATTTTTTTTCCATCCTCTAATTTTAATTCACAGTAATATACTAGTTCTTTATGAGTCTTGGAAGCTATTTGATCCTAAGCAAGCCCCATTTAACCTTCACCATGTTTGCTGACACAATCACATCATCAATTCCTCAAGCCTAACATTTTATTTCTTGTAATTTGCAACTGAAGTAATGCCCGGTAAGTACTCAGCCCAGAACAAACTTTGCAAACAACTACACAACTAATAGTATGTTGTGTCTTTCAGTGCCATCAATAATGGCAATCACAATAGTCAGGGCTCGATAATTCCCTCTAATGGAAGTGTGTGTGCCAAGGTCGGTGGAGACTGCAGTTGTTATAAGAGCATTTGAGCCACTAAAGAAAAAGCCAGCAACGATTTGTTCAAGCCCCCGAGACATTCCCAATAAAGTGGTGTAGTAGACTTGAAGGAATTGCAAAAAACATAAAATCTTTTTATCTGTATTTCAAATCATTTTACTTATGAACTAGTATAATACTTGATTAATAGCAAGAATGCACTGCTGCTATTGCTGCTCCTTGCAATCTCTAGTTACTCAGAATCCAAAATATACCAAAGTGACAAAATCTTGAACTCGTTTTTTATCTGCTTGAAATATAATTATTCATTCTTGTGCTGGGAATATCAGAAATTCGTTAATCTTTAAGAATTATCTCATGCAATTACTAATAAGAAATAGTGAAACAACTCAGAAAGTATTTGTTTGTTGAAATACTTTAAACTAATGATTTTTTTGTTATTATTAATAATGAATCTTTATCCTTAAAATCTCATTGCTTCTCGCTAGTGGAAACAAGAGATTTTTAATATATATTCTAAGATATTAATAACTCTATCTTAATTTAAATATATTTATAAACAAGGTATTTGAACTAGAAAATATAAAATTCAAATATCTCTTCACAAGATAAATCTAACGTTATAGATATGGAAGGAAAAATAAAGCTTAAAATAAAATAAAAAATAAAACATTAAAATATATGGTAACAAAGAGCAAAAATTTAAATTTCAAATTCTTATTTCATATCTTTCTTTATCAAATTTTAATTAGCCAATCATAAATCTAAAAAAAATCTAAAAACACCAAGAGTTATTTAAGTAGAAAAGCCAATGGCTATAGATTAATTTCTTATTTATTCATAATTTATTTATGATAGATTAGTATGGAAAAACTAAATTGGTGAGGAATTGTTATTTTTCGAGGAGCTAACAGCTGGGTTCCGAGGTCTTGTTTTCTGTTGACCCCTCATCATATTCACATGGAGCCTAAAACCTCATTTTCAAATAGAGCCACCGCCCACCGCTCCTTTCTTTAGCAATGTTATCCAGAATTGAGCTGCCCATGATGGCTATATTTGTGGTCTTGGTTGACAACATAGCAAATAATTGCCTTACTTGTCTTTGGGTTCATTAAGAATGGTCGGGAAAATGTTGAAGAAAATGGTGAAATTTAGCACGACAAGAGTTTCTAAAAAATCGTGAAACTGCTAGACCGTTTCATGTCCTAAACACCTCAACACGTCTAATGGCTTGATCTGCTACGAACTTGCTCTCCAATATCGCAGGACATGCACCTCAACAAATATGTCGCAACTTTCCACTAATTACAAGGATGCTCTCTATACTTTGTCTAAAAGTTTATTTCCCTGAGACCTGGATGTTATTCCTCACCAAGGATTTTCGGTTGGTTGCAAGATTAGCCATGTCTCGCGCACTCCAGAAGAATTCCTCACCAAGGATTTTCGGTTGGTTGCGCACTCCAGAAGAAAGTTTAAGCGAGCCTTGTTGTCTGCAAAGAAAATCCGTTATGAGCTGTGCTTTGTATTGAAAGGAAGGAAGGCAGAAGAATGAGAGCCTATCAAGCTCTCTTAGAAATGATCTGCCTGTTTTCTACTGTAATCCACAAACCAATGGCAGAAACCTAACATAATCAGCTCTGCCAAATCTGTATAAATGGAGACAGTTGAGAAACAGTGAATTCCATCATCCTCAGTGCTCACTGGAACAATTTAATCGGGGCCACAGAGACAGAAATACCCGACATACTACTACATCAGTGTACTCGTCTTGCAGAAAAAAGGGCACCACGAACCATAGCCATATGTCTATCAAAATTTTACAGAAACATACCTTCGTGCCCATTATTTAAGACAAATAATTTACAGTTGTAACAACCCTATCTTTTGACTTTGTTCTTGGTTAACTCGTGTTGTAAAAGCTTCGTGAGACCATACCTGATTTTCATCTCTGCTCACTTAGAAGTGGTTGAGATGGAGGAACTGCAAAACAAATGAAGAGCATGGATCATGTATGGAAAGGGAAAGAAATTATCATAGAGTGACGTGGAAATTATGGGGATAGGACATACATGTATCCATGCATGCACGCACGCATGTATGAGAGAGAGGCATGCGTGTATGTATGTACGTATGTGTGACAGAGAGGGGGGGCGAGAGAGGGAGGGAGGAGGAGAGAGAGAGAGTACAGCTACAGATGGAATTGAAATATTGATAAACAGTGATGAAATAAGAACTATAGAAGCAATGCGAGAACGATATTATCAGTATATCACTTGTAGTCAAATTAACATGTTCTTCATTCCCAAACTAGATGCTGCCAGCTGCAAAAATAACTTCCACCATACAATTGTGGAATGAACTGTCTGTAGGGTTGATGTGATTCTAAACGAATTTTAGTAACAGACATCACCATATATTCTAGCCCCCCACTTCCCCCCTTTCTTGCTCTTACCACTCCAGATTAATCTCTTCTTCACATGACCATCAGTAGGCTAGTGGACATTGTGAACCATATAAAAAAACACAATATTTTCTTCCAGTTCAGAGGTATTCTGCAACTAGAATGGAAATTGTATTGCCATATAAATTTTACTGGAAAAACTTGCTGCTGCTCCTAACTATGAAATTTGTAAGTTTCTATCCTTTTCTCTTAAATTTTCAATTACCAATAAGATTAATGCAGATTTCATATCCTCTCTCAGGATACATAATCCATAGATACATGTCCTATAAAAGTTAAACAATGGTACATGTGTGACTTTGTCAGTGTGTGTGCATGCAGGATTATCTCAGCCAGTTCATGGCATTACCTTCAGAACTTTGCAGTCCACTGGTTGAACGCATCAATTTACTAGTTTTATCATTAATTTCAGCGACAACCTGACATGATAAGAGAAGCCCCGCAATGAGAGCACCGAGCATCAGCATCACAAAAACTGTATTCCATCCTTTAGTTGAAAGAAACCCAGTGAGAAGAGGACCAAGAGCTGCACCAATTGATCCAGTACCATCAATAATGGCAGTGACTGTTGCCAATGCTCGAGAATCCCCTCTAAGAGAACTGTGTGTACCAAGGTCAGCAGATACTGCAGTTGTGATAAGTGCATATGGCCCATTTATGAATAAGCCAGCAATCATCATGAGTACAATGTTCATAGCCTGCGAGAAACTCCCATATATGCAGTACAAAAACATAGAAGGAATTGCAGCATACATGAAACTGGCTGCTGTAATAGCCCGAGCTCTAAGTTTGTCAGATATATGGCCAGCAAGAATTCCACCAACAATGCCCCCTACATCAAACAGGGTTGAGAGATTTCCAGCTGACTTCACAGACATATATTCTCCACCAATTTCTGCAGTTAAGAAAATTGAACTATTACCTCTACAAAACAGGATAATCTTGCAAGGATTTCCAGCAACTACAAAAACTTGTTTTGAAAAATTTACGTGTTCACAAATAAACATCGCCAATTACTGCAAGTCCTCTTTTCCAATAACAATATCCATGCACAGATTATGGCTGATCTCATTTGATCTTACAAGGATTTCATGATTCATCTACTTGCCTAAAGCCTAGCCTCATGCTCTGCTTCTTAATATTAGTGCGAAGTGGTAAAACAGCTCTATAGCGAGGCTGCATGACCATTCTCAAAATGCCTGCACGGAAGTACTAAGAATTTTATTTTATTTTCAGTCAATACAATTGTACCAGCATTTGCAGCGTTTATATATCTGTCTTTTTTATGGTCTTAGTTTCCAGAGAAAAATTACGTTACATATAACACATTCATCACAAAAAGTATTTGTGTTATTTAAAAAAACAACAGATAACGATTTTAGGACAAATTGTTGCAATAATTAACAATAAATTACTATTTCAAGCTTGCAACTGGAAATTTGAAACTATCTTGTATGATGGTCCTCTAAAGACAATGCCTAGCCCCCGAGCCTTAACATTTGTCGTAAAGGTCCTCAACATTCACTAATAAGCATGTCTCATAGATTTAGTAAGTAAAACTTGTCCCAAAGCAAATGATACATTAGAATTTAAAATGTCAACAGGAAGCACAATACAACCTCGTTTTCAATTTAAACTTTCATGTCAAAACTGTAGTTAAATGAAGATGAAATGATGACCACAACTCTTACCTAATGCTCCAACAAGAATTAATAAAGAACCAATCAAAACTTTGTTTCAGCAAATAAAAAGTGCATGTCATAGCAGCGGAGAATGAATTAAATAGATGAATTACAAATTCTTCACATGATCCATCAAACAAAATTGTTTCAAAGAGGTGACAACTGCCCAGCCTACAGTCAAAAATATATTCCAGGCTTCCGGAATTATTCTGATGGCCTCCATTTGTAAGACTAACACAGTCTTTTTGTTCTTTTTTTAATAAATCATATCAAGTGAAACCTGCAAATGGGGGAGATGTGATTTGAGCAAGAAGGACATAACCAATTACTTAATCTGTTGAAAAATACAATAGGAGCTAGCTGACTCCACTTGGTAAAATCATGTGCACCAAGGAGATCTTAGCCCACCGTAAGAACCCTTCTATGCTAGCATGATCCTGATTAAATGCAGAAAATTAGTGAATCCCTACAACTGGCAATCCCTTTTTGTATTGCTAATCAATATTCAAAACAACATGGCACAAACCAGCAAAAAAAATATCTAATTTAAGAAGGCTAGCTATCGATGAAATTACAAAATTCTAACAGCAGAAATTGAGGGCAGAAATACCTGTCTGACTCAAATAAAAGGGCAACCAATACAAAAATGTGTAAGCCACTAGCTTGGCGAAGAACAGGCAGAATGCAAATGGTAGCACTCCTGGTATCATGCAAGCTTCGAGAAGCCCAACGCTTCTCCTGACCCCAGATCCTTCTCTTATGGGAGCATTCTTCCCCTTCTCCACAATACCTTCGCTCTGCGCCTGAGCTTCTACATCTCGAGCCACTACCTCGGCCGTTGCTGCCGGGACATTTGAACAAGGAAATCCAACATCCTCAGGATAGGCAGCTAAAAACAAGAAAACCAATACCCCTGCTAGTGCAATAAACATTCCCGGAGCAATTAAAGATCATCCCCAACCATAGTCCAAAACACTTGCAGCAAGAAGAGAGCCAGTAATATTCCCAACTGAAGTATGTGCATTCCAAATACCCATTATTAACCCTCTCTTCCTTTTCCCGAACCAATTACCAATTACAGCCACCACAGAAGGCCAACCTGTGGCTTGAAACAACCCAGCAACCATTTGCATAACCAAATAAAACCCGAAAACATGAATGTTCCAAAAGTATCCCATACCGAATAACCCCACAAAAATTCCACTACCAATCATCCCAGAAGTCAAAAACAACCTCAAATCCAATGTATCACCTAAATGACCAGCACCATACATTCCCAAAGAATAACAAGCAGGAAATGCAACATCAATCAATCCCAATTTCTTTTTCCCGCCTTTCTCATTAAATGGTTCCCAACCTATATATTCAGACTTATATTTGTTTTTACCCGGGATTTCATCTTTAAGAAAGACACTTCCAATTGGCCAAGGGTACACATTTAAGGTCTTATCAGGTTCAGGATCCAGTACACTCTTGACTATGCTACTGGGTTTTCTTGATGCATGGTAACTAGTATATGCAATGAAAGTAATCAACAAAACCATGTACCTATAAGTCTTGAGACTCCAATCTTTGCCTCTTATTTTCCTTATAAGCCAAACCCCAGGTGGGATATTCCTCGCTGTGTCTAAATTGGTAGCCATATCTAAAACAACAGGCAAGATTATCAAGCCAGTAAACCAAGAAAGAACATATATACTAGCTACTATCACATTCTTCGAGAAAGAAGACAGGTATTTCCATGAATGGAAGCAATGGTATTTTACAAGAAACAGAGTCAAATCCTCAACCTCCAAGCAAGTATTAAGAGTCTGCTATAGGGACCTAATTCACTAGAAAAACCAGCCAATATTTCAAGAAATTGCAGCTTCCAGCAATAATTAATCTTCAGCTGTTGAGTTCTTTGAGTTTCGAAGTCGAGAGAGAGAGAGAGAAGAGACTGGAGCGTGCATTGGCAAGAGAGGGTTTCCTTAAGTTTTGCTCTCGGAGATCAGAGGGGGGGTTATGTGAGAAAATGGCGGGAGAGGACAGGGTGTAAAAGGAAACGAAGGGCACGTGGCGGGATCTGGGAATTTGAATTGCGTGCCACGCAGTCAGCTGTGATGACAGTGAGAGTGGGGGAGAGAGACAGAGTAGTACAAAGCGGCTGTGATAGTAAGAATGATAGAGAATACTACAAAGTGGTTATGCTTACGCATGGACTTTCCGTATTTCCGCGTGGCATGTGGTTCTTCGCTAAAGTAGGATGTGTCCGGCCTTAAAAAATCCGAATGTAATATTTCCACAAATATCTTTAAAAAATAGGTTAAAAAAATCAGTATTTCACTGTGGAAAACAGGAGTGTTTAGTTGGGTGATATAATCACTGTTTCATCAAATTTTGAAAAAAAGAAATTATGTTTTTTTAACTTTTTAGGATGATGATATTAAAAATAATTTTTTAAAAATAAAAAATATATTTTTTAATAAAAATATTAAAAATTAATTATTACTATATTTTCAAGCACCACTACCATAATTCAATGTGAATTGAAAGCAAGAATAGTGAAATGGTTATTTTGCTCTTCTCAAACAAGGTTGTTTAACTAGCTATTAAAAGTAAAGTGGTATTTTTTTTTTAATAAGGTATATTTATTATTATCATATTAACAACAGAGAACAAAGCAATTATTTTAACACTTTAGATGCACGGTAAGATGATATAAATATTCTTAAAACTTTGGTACAGGGGCTTTTATGGTTTTTAATGCTTTGACTACACAGTGAAATAATTATATTATCCTTAAAAATAAAAAAATAAAAACAAATTAACATCTAAGGTTTTTTTTTTGTATTTTTCTTATAATTTTCTAGTTATGATTAATTTGAATAAATGTAATTAAATTTTCTAAAAATAACTATAATTAAAAATAAATAAAATTTTATGGTGTTCGTTGAATATACTCACGTTCATTGAGTAAAGCGTATGGCATTCATTAAGAGGTACTCACACTCATCCCCGAGCATCTAATTTTATTAAAATTAGTATTCATGTTTTTTTTTATTTCTCTTTACATGAGTTATCTCGATTTTATATCTATGATCATGAGATTAGCGGATTAACCCAGATTGATTAGGATATTTTTTCCTTATTTTTTTATTTTTATTTTTTCTAATTTCATCGCTAAGCATTTTTTTATTAAGAATTTTTTTTTTCCTTTTGTGATGTTGGTCCTCATTTCGTGATCATGATCACAAGTTTTGAAGTTTTATATAGGTTAATTTTGATGATTTTAGGTCGTTTAAGAAAAAATCATTTTCATTATTCAATTATTTTTTTTATTAATTAATCTTCATGCTTCTTTTTTTCATTTTTCTTTCACATTTTTTTATGATTATAAAATGTGTGTGCATGTGTGTTTATTTTTTGTTATTGAAAAAAAATATTCAACTCTTAGAGAAGCGTGAGTCAAATAATTAGTTATTATCAATAAAAGCGAAATATCTCTAGAAATATTTCCAGCTCTTCATTGTTTATATAAACAATAAAGCTTTTTTTTTCCATGCATTTTCATGCTGTTTTTTAAATTTTATTTATTTAATATTTTTATGGCATAATTTCATGAAATAGAATTTTAAATTTTAACAAAAATAGAAAATTAAAGGATACAAAACCATAATGTAAAAAATGAATAAAATACACAATCAATCTAAAAGTTTTTAAAATTTTTATTTTGATCTAAAATTTTATTTTATTTATTTTTAAGTTTTTGAATTTACAAGAAAATAGAAAGAATTAGTAGAAAAAATGATGGAAGAGAAAGAAATTTACTGGTTGGCCAAGTTATGAAAATAAAAATGAATGATCTAAGTGTTAAAAGATTCCAATCAATAAAAGGAAGTCAATGATAGTAGTTTTTTTTTATATATATATAAACATGTTTGAAAAATAAATCAAGATATTTTTATATTTTTTTGATTCAGGTGAATTTTTTTTTTAATGTTTTCAGGGTTGCTAGGTGGTCAATGAATTTTTTTATGTATTTTCCGGTGAAAGTAATTTTTTTGGCTAACCTCTCTAGTAATTTTCCAACTATCATGCTAGTTGTCGGATTCTAGATAACAACTTATCAAGTGATATGTCGCCTAAAGGCGATTTCTTCCCAATTGATTTTTTTTTCACTTGAAGAAATAAAAATGGAGTCAACAACCTTCAGAAAAAAATGGGGAAAAAAAAAACATATCTAGGCATTTTATTTTTATTAAGGTCTG